ATACGCAGACGCCCTCATCATGCAATATATAGCAAACGCTGTGTCGCGATGACCTGTGCTATAGAGTGTTACTACGGACTCACTACTCCAGGTGTACAGACGTGTATGTGCGCAATGTTGCATGTTATGTACATATATATTAACGTAGATAACACGCTTACATATATTAGATTAATTGTTTATTACGTTAATAACACGTTACATACTGTTGAACCTCTATTTTCGGACCCCGCCTTCCGGATTTCGGGAAATCCGGACCAAATCTGAAAAAAAAAAAAAACTTATCGCCATTTGGCCAGACACAGACCGATAACTCGAGAAGTGTCGGTAGATGGCAGTTGGCGATTTGTTTATAATTAGAAACAAACCGCTTCGAATTTTTCCACTAAAGTATAATGTGGGCCAAAGATTGCCGTCATGAGTGCCAGAAAGCATATGAAAGTGAGCAAGGATGCAGATGTGGCAGACGCAGTGATTAAATCCTATGTCCAAGAGCGTTCATGTGGAGTGGAGGTTAGTGGTGTTAGTCTACGTACTGCAGTTGATAAACTGGTAATTCAGACTTTTGTATTTTTCGGACGGGTAGTCCCCCCCTCTTATTAGTCCGGGATATCGAGGGTCAACAGTATATATATTACGTTTAATATGTTATATGAGTTGGCTAATTAATATATAAGTTACGGTATACCGCTGAGCTAGAAGCTTCAGCGAGTTTTCGACGGTAATATCTGACTAGCTTTGTTTTAAGCTGTGGAGTTGTTATCCCCTGTTATTATCCCCTCTGGGGGTGGGGGTGGGGGGGTCAAATACCGCCTCGCCAAGTTAATTATACGTCAGTGCACACGCCGCCCTCAGATGTCCGTGCCTAATTGCGACTCTGAGTGAAGAACTAATTAGAAGAGGAGGATGAGATCGGGCGCGCGCGATAGAGAGAGAGAGAGAGGCCGGAGCACGCGTGAGTCGCGGTTTGTGGATGATGTGATATATGCAGATGAGAGCGCTGCGACGGCGAGATTGCGGCTTTATTAACGTGTACCATTTCCATGCGCTTCCTCTCCGACGCTAGACACGCGATACTCTAGAATGATCGGCTAGATCAGAGGCGGGACCTAGAGGCGGTCAGGATGTGCTCTGTCGTGGTGCTGGAGCTATGCATAGCAGCTGCACACGTTAATTAAGTAGGTTTCATCGCGTTGAAGGATGCGCAGGGACGGTGGTTTGAATCCATCCGCGTGATCGGCGAGGATCGAACCTTCAGAACATATTGTGATGAGAACAACGTGGCGGAACCTCGACACGATGGGAGGCTGAAAGAAGAAGAAGAAGAAGAAGCTGATTTTATGTGCGGATTAAATCCGTAATCAGCTACGGGCTTTAGTCGGTATTTATTCGTGGAAACCGAGTGGATCGCGCACTCAACGCATATGCGCTGCTATAGTTATGCAAATCCCTCGTCTTCATTATCATCAATTTTGCTCACGTACGCGATCGTCAGTCGAACAGAGAATGAACGCGCGAGCGTGATATCACGCGCACACAAAACATTTACCGCTCTAACTCTCTGATTATGAGCCGTAATAATCGAGTTTTATATCATCCCGCGTTTTCTCCTGACAGCCACGCGCACGCCGGCATCGCTCCTCTATAAATATTTGTGTAAATTTCCTCATTTCATTTTCGCCGCGTTTATTAACGTAGATACGGCAGATTTCATCTCGAAGTATATTATGATAATTTGAGCAAACAACGCGGCGGTTTTTTTACGGCTTATAATCAAATTCGCGTGCGGGCGTATGCTGACGACGATGAACACGTTAGCAAGCTCAGGTCTATAACTAGTGCCTTACATGTATAATGAAGTATAGGAATCAGCTCGCAGCGAACGCGTTGCGTAGAGCCACGGTTGTTGTTGTTGTTACTATATCGTTATTACTCGTCAGTGATATTTATATTTAGCAGTTGGTTGGAAAACGATTATTACATGATGGCGGCCCCCAGGGGTCGCTAGCAGACGCATAAATTGTCACTCCTCTTGAATGTGTAGAAGTGCCGGATGCGTGTATAGAACTTTCGTTTGTCATTAGAACAATGCAGCAATGCCACCTCGCCATATATATATATATATATATATATATATATATATATATGTATATTTATATATATATATATATATTGGTCCCCGCTTTGTACGGACATGTCCGGGAACCATGACAATATCTCCCGATGAGGCAGCGGTGCCGATTAAGCGGTGAACGCGTAACAGCGCGCGTATCCGTTTGATTTCAAACGCATCTTGCTTATAATCAATGCGCCCGTTTATCCGAGTCCCGATAAAGCGGGGGATCGACGGTATAATATACTTGTATGCTAGAGCACAGCTATGTGTTTGTGATGACCGGCGTAGCCGTCGGCGATGACCACAGAGGTATATAACACATACAACAATATTTATCATAGGAAGAATCTTTCTATGACAAATAGTGTCACTAGGAGAGCGTATATGCGTATGTCGTCTT